TTTCGGTTGAAGACACGAAATCTAACCGTAAACAAATATTCTGCACTTTGCTATATAAAAATGAATTTTGGTAATCTGTTTTCATATACCTCCTAATATTTAATGTTCTAATATGCAATGTCCAGATCAAAAATGATCATTTTTCGGTTCCCTAAAAATATTTTAATGCTAAATTAAATTGCCGAACTTTGCCGACGAGTGTAATGTTTCAACGCTATTAATTCGATCACGCCTCTAAAAAAATTATAAAATTGATCTCTAACAATTAGCAACTTAGGCAGGTTATCACTACAAAAATGGTAAAAAAAAGTGTTCTGTGCGTTGGTTGAATCATTACTTGATTGCTGTATGAGTGCATGAGATGCAGCCAATATAACCAGAATTGAACCTTTGTCCCTCAAAAATATGTCTTGAATGTGATGCTGCATATAAACAAGTTTTATATACTTGTAAAAAGCAACACAAAATAATCACTGTCTTACTCCAAGATTATATAAATGCCAAAAACAAAATTTTTATACGATATTAAAAATATTTGACTTCATAAATCTTAAATAATAAAATAACTTGGTTGTGTGCTTGGTACGAATTTTATAACCACGCTGAATATATTCCCTGTTTATTATTTTTGAGCGTTCTTTCTAACTCATTCCTTATGTATGCAGGATACAGCCATTTTTTGTAACCTGTTAGATCGAGGTGTTTGCAAAAATATTTTCAACACCATTAAGTGTGAAGGTGTGAAATCCATAGTTTACGATATTATTTTTATAAAACTTTTCAAGTGTCAGTAACTTAAAAAGTAATATGGAGCAACCAATACATTCATGAACAAAACTTGCGGAAAGAGTTTCCATATTTAAGGTGTTCCATTACGAAAAACAAAACCTTTTTGAAATAATTTTTCCAAGACGCAATGACACCCTGTATACTAGGTGATATCAATTTTGAATATTGGGCGAAACCTGTATACATTATACATTAAAAATTTAATATGGATAATCCCTGTATATAAAATCAGTAGAAATATTTATTAAACATTTTTCAAGTTTTTGTATATGCCTCATAAACGGAAAATATTTAAAAAAATTATGTTACTTATGGTTAGCAAGAATCGAGACTATTGCCTTAACTTCTAAGCGACCGCTATTGGAATGTTTTCTTTTCCGTTTATTTGATTACACATTGTATTTGAGGAATGAGAATTTGAGCCAGATTCAACTGGGGTAATCCGATCTAATATTGACAGAACTCGATCGTCGACCGTATCAAAATGGTAATAGCATAATTTCCATTTCACCGCAATTACATGGTAGAGATAAATCTATATTCAACGTGGTTAAATAAATTAACCTTCTTGAATTTCAAGAACGCGATTAAGATGACGAGAATTTTGCATATTTCTTACGAATGTGTTATTAGAATTCAAGCTCAACCAAGTTCAAGTTCAAATTTTGGTATATTGCTTGCTTATTAAACCGAATTATTTTTTTTTGAGGAACGAGGTTTCTATTTTTTTTATTTGTTCAGGGTGGTCCATTAATTCATTAGGCATTACCTAATTACGCGAAAATACACCAGATTCGACGAAAAGTTATATACGAAAAATATATCAAATAAATATTTAGTGATTCATAATTTAAAAAGATTTTTTATATTGGATTAAAAATCAACGATTTTTGAAATATTTAAAATTTTATACCAAATAATATCTATTAAAAGACAAAATACTTAAAATTAGATCAAGAAATTTTGCGATTACCGTTTTTTTTTTCAGTGGAAACCCCCTAATCATTTTAATTTAGCATATTTACCATTAAAAGGTAATGTAAGTTTCATTTCAAAATTTTTATTGTTCCAGATAATGTAATATAAAAGCAACTAACCGAGTATGTTATTAATTTCATTTAATTATACGGTGAAATATTTTCGAGTTCTTAGTTAAATATTTCTAAAATTTATACCCAAATACACAAAATATTTGAATCAGCTTTTGTATTCCACTTGCCCTTAGAATACGTATATTTTCAGAGATGAGGTAATGTTTCAGGAAAACAGATCACTATGTGCTACCTTGTAGTTGTCTATACTTGTATATTGTCTTCCATTTTTGGGCTTATGTCGCTTATTAATAAACCTAGCGTATTGCGCTTTCGTGACTTAAGGGTACTTTTTCATGAAACGAAATGCACCATAAAGAGAAACGTCATTTAGATACAGGATGCTTTTGAAAATGTTGTATTTTTAGACACCCTTTGTGGTTCAATTATGCGTTAACTTATCGAATATGTAAAAACTGACCTCGTTAGAGTGTTCTAAGTAAGATCTAGCGATGAAGTCAGTCATGTATAAGAAGCATTTCAAAGACAATTAACTTTGTTGTACAAAAAGGTGTCCGTTTTCCTAATATACTTTAGTTGATAAACAGTTATTACATTTCTTAATTATTACTTTACTCCTTTACTCCTTCATAGCAAATTTTTTCAAATGGGCTAAAGAATTTGTATTAAACTCCTATCGATTTATATAATATTTGTAAAAAATTTAATAAAAGAAATAAAATTTAAAATGACATTCACAAATTTCTCAGATTTAGCTTATATACCTTTAAAAACTAATGTTGCATTCCAAAAATTTGTTGTTTTCCAAATAATGTGTTGAAGCAAATAAGTCTGCTGTTCAGGCGTCTTAACATTTATTATTGACTAACCAAGACAATTATGACATCAACATCAACATCAAACTAAACAGATAAACAGAAACATTGAAAAAAACCTTATTTGAAAATAAAATTTTAGAGGCGTTGGTTTTGCTTCACAGGCAACAACGTTAATTTTAATTTTAAGGAGGTCGGATGAAAACAAATTCCGAATTATCATTTATTTTATGTCTTCGAAAAGTAATGTTGAAGAGTCTGTTTGTTCCATTATTAATGTTCAAAAATTTGCCTTGTTAAAGTCACATTCAACCCGTATTATTTATTAGTAAAATTGTAAATATGGAAAATAAAAATAAAATATATACTTTTTAGGTTGAAAGTGAATTAAATATTATCTACTTTAATTAGTTAATTAATTAATATTTTAAATAACTTCGAACGAATTTATATTCGTTCCTTCGTTTACCCATTCAGTAAATCCGTATTATTTCCAATTGGAATTTTGTTGCTATTGCTATAAAAATGTTTGAAAACTTTGAAAAGTACGACATGATAAAATGTTATATTGAAAGTAACGAAAGTCAACAGACGGCGTTAAATCTATATTTCCAGAGAAAGAAGGCAACCTAGCTCAAAAATATTTTTGAAGTTAAAACGTCATCTACAAGAATATGGATCCTTTACAAACCCCCCAACCCTCCTTCCACTTATAGAAGTCTAGCCAGAGATGAAGAGTTGGAAGAACTAACGGTTCTGTCGACCCCGACGGGTGCATCAATTACGGCAACGAGATTTTGCTCCAAGACGTGCACTTTGCAGGTGGTACCTAAATAAATCTCAAGAAGACCCCAATTTTGACAGGAAAGTTATTTTGACGGATGAGGCAACGATTTCTAGTGATGAAATATTGACCAGGTATAACTGCTATTACTGGAAACAGCAAAATCCGCATATTATGCTGGAACAAGCGAATCAGGGAAGGTTCAGTTTTAAGGTATGGGTGGCATCTACAGAGAACAAATTATTCGTCCACATATTTTTGATGGAAATTTAAATGCCGAAAAGTACCAACAAATTCTAGAAGATCAGGTAATTCCGTTTATCGACAATTTGCCACTTCAGAAAAATTATGAGTTTTACTTTTGACATGACGGTGCACCTCCTCACAATGCACGAGATATTACTATATATCCTATATATTGGCCCCCCAGGTGTCCAGACCTGACCCCTTGCGACTTCTTTTTGTGGGGGAGAATCAAAATTTCGAAATCGCCCAACTACTAGAAGGGAATTGGAAGCAGCACTTTGTGTGTGCATTCAGGCAGCAGAAAATAGCGCCAAGAGAATATGTAGAATATGTTTACCAGAAGACAGCACTCAAATTTGAGCATTTGAGCGTTGAAACTTGTTAGATGTAGATTTTCAGTGTTAGATAGTTTAATTAATAAAAATTTTAAATAAAAAAATTGCTTTTAATAATTTTAATTCCGTTTATTATTTTAGGGTTGGTAATTATTGTAAACTAGAAGTTTATATGAAAAAACAAAAACAAAAGAAATTTATCAACATATTTAGGGCGCGCACAACGCCTAATATGGTAAATATCAAAAATTGCAAATATCTTTTCAACTATTTAATGAAAATAGGTGTATAGCCCATCTTTCGACAGGAAATTTTATTAGAAAACTGATTTTTTAGAAAAATTGGGGGTATCTCATTTAAAGGAATATAACTTTGTGCGATATCTCGGGAACTAAAGGCTCTAAGACAAAACGGGTAAAATTAAGAGATTCCTGCTTAAACAGTTTTAAAAAAATGTTTTTTCCCAAAACCCTATTCTTACGATTAAAAAAGCTATAGTGGTCCTTTAAAATCACACATTTTTAAGAATCTCCCTGTAGCCTTGACATATCACGATGCGGTTTTCAGTTTTTGACTTCTCTCGAAAATCGAGTCCGTAACATGCATATTAGTTTTGGGCTAACTATGCTGCAAATGCTTAAAGCCCCTTGAATTTTGACCACGAGGTACAATCTAAGTGAAGTATTTAAAAATATATAAAATATATTTGTACTTTATTTGTTATTCCCAGTGAACAACGTCAAAAAAAAATTATTTCAACATGTTGAAACAACTTTTGTATTCAACTTTTTATTGTATATGGTCGTGGATAGGGTTCACTGTTCAATCACGGAAAAATATGGAAAAGTACTTTTTAAAATAAAAAAAACTAAAACCACACAAAAACATTGAAAAAATCTTGTTTTAAAATGAAAAACACGAAGTTCGATAATGCTAGTATTTTATATTCGATTTTTTAATAACCGACACATGTACTTACAGCCTCTAGACGAAAAATAAAAAAAAAACAAATGCAATCCAATAGCACGGCCGGAAAATGAAACACACCTGGAAGCGCGCACCGGAAGATACGTCTAGCGTTCGAAAAACCACTCACGGACGAGAACTAATCAGGAGCGAGTCCGGTTTCTCTCTCGGTCAATCGGTCGTAAGTCCGCGTGTGTCTTGCGGGATGAATTTTTTTTAACCGCGGATAAAAACGACCACGGTGGGGAGCCGTTGTTTTACTTTCCCTTTTTACTCGCATTTTAATTCAACGCGTCTCGCGATGCCGTAAGACTCGCATTTTCTGGAGACAATCACGCCACTTGTATACTGGAACTTGTGGTAAAAGTTCATAATTTTGGACCCTTTATTATTTCAAGCTGACCTTCCAGATGGCGTAAAACTATATTAACATTATGACGATACGATACGATGACCAAAAATTGAGAGAGCTATACAAAAATTTCAGACCTACTGCACAAACAATCACCCCTTATATTAAACCCCGAAAAAGCTGTAGTCGTTCAATTCGTAAACCCTTAAGTGTAATTAAAAATTGCGATAGAAAATTGCTAGGTACAGAAGTTGACTGTCAATTAATCGAATAGACTGTGTATCAAAAAAACTTAATAGCTCTTATTTTGTTATCTTAAAATTGAAATCATCGTTACATACCTCTCCTCTTTTAAATGTATACTACTCACGAATATACTCAGTAATCTCTTACAATGTCATACGACCAGTAGACTCGAACCGAATAAAATCAGTACAACAATCCAGAGATATTTTTTGAAATAAAAAAACGTTCAACTCTGGCAGGTATTTATATACTTAAACTATTAATTTAGATACATAAAACCTTCAAACAAGATCCCATATTCATTCTTATTCCACAAGGTAAGACAAGACAAGAAAAATAAATTGCAGTTAAAAAAAATGTAATAACTATTGCTATAAAAAAAAACATATTTTCATTCTTTGCAAACGTACAAAACTTTCTGCTGAAACTAGAGACGTAGAACAAAAGAAATTCAAAAAATATTTAAAATCTTTACTGACAACAAATGTTTTTTATAATGTATCTGAATTCGAAAATTATGTGAATAATAGATATAAACAAAAAACATAAAAATAAAAAATTCAAAAAGGTTTGTTACTTCATGATACAATATGGGTTGTTTGTGGGTCTTTTTCACGTGAAATTTTGTCTTTTTTTATATAATTATGATTTTAAATATTAACAATATTTAGACATATTGCGATTTTTTCCTGATTAAACTTTCCTTTGTCATACTAATATTAGTGAATAAATGTCTACTCTGCTCTACTATACTGATGATCCTCATTCTACAAGAATTGTTTCAGACGCCTACTTTTTCTGGCACCTTACTTATTACTCAATAACCCACACGGCTTTATGCTATTCTAGTATTATTGCTAGTTGTTATTAATATTTAAAGTGCGTCAACGAGGCGTACGACAAAGATTGGTCATATACGGTAACAGGCATAGAAAAAATCTTTTCACCAAAGTGCCAAAATAGATAAAGATTTACATGTTAAAAATGCAAACTATTAAATTTCATATATTTCTAAATGGTACGCTCCATATATCTGATAAGCTCACCATCCGACAAGTCAAAGGCAGAGCTTTACAGCCCATCTTTTTGCCTACAGGCCCCATAAAACTCAAGCTAAACCGAAAGTTCCTAATATGTACTCAGTGTGCTATTTTCAAAATATAGTATACATGGTGTCTGTTGTTGCTGAAGAAATTTAAATAAATTAAATGAACATCTCGCTAATTATTGTATTTTTGGGATTCATTCCATTGGCTTAAAAAATACTCTCTATTTTATCGAGTATATCCCATACCCATATCCCATACTTTTTGAGATATTTCACTTTATTTCAAAACTATAGTTTGTTGAATGTTTGAACACTAACTTAAAATACCTTATAGTAAAGTGTTCATTTCGCATACACGAACTCATATTTGAAATGATATCTCCACATGAAAAATCTAATTTTGTTATTTGGGGAGATCCGACTGGCCAAGATACTGGACCACCCTCTGCCTATACAGTGCTAGTGCTAGGTCTAGCTACATTTCAGTCGTAAGGTTTCCTTCAAAAAAATGCATCCCAATGACATTAAACTCTATTTTCTGCCCAAAACATTAAGTGACCCTCTCCACTAGTGGCACGTTTCACGCAGAAAAAAATAATTGCAATAAAAGTCGTATTTATTTATTCAGTCATCATGTTTTCTATCCAGTGTATCTTTTCCATCGACTTGTGCATTTCGCAGCATTCATGATATTGATGGTGCAGTAATGGAGAATTCTTTAGCAAGTTGTCTCGTACTCTTCCTGAATTTTCAACCAGACCTCGCAGTAGGATAAAGTTGGGTAGGATAAAGTTGGGCATATATTCGGGAGCCTATAAAAGTGTTTTATAAGAAAATTTAAAAAATGTATCAGTGTAAAGCTTTTTCTTTGATCCGTCAGATGATGAAGTAATATATAAATTCCAAAATGTATAAAATTTTATAATTACTAATTTTTGACTCACCATATAATTAAAAATATATTGTAGATTTTTATCGATTTTACAGCTTTGGCCAAAATATGTTTTCTGTTTATGAGTTTTCTTTGTCGCACGCCTTGTTAACGTATTCTGCATATTCTTAAAAATGAGAAAATCACCACTGTACCGTACCGTGCTGTACCGCCAGCAATATCACCTACTTCTCCTACCGTCGTCTATGCAAACCACCGCAGTTTGTTTATTTTCCACTGAAAAGACATACACATATACTTATCTACCATTACAAAAAACTCATAAATACTAAAAAACGTCGAAAAAGTATCAAAACCTTCTAATCAGGTCTAGTCAACACTTTTTATTTTCGTACTGCCATGGCGATTACGTGATTGAGACAACCAATGCCACACCGCGGTAATGAAAATCATTGAGATTTGAGATTTTAGTGCGATTTCGTGTCCCATCTTAAAAATTCTTTTTCCGTTAACCGAACGAGTGATAAGGTCAAAACATAATTTTAAAAACTAGTGGTTTGAAGACAATATTCTTCAAAATAAAAGGGAAAAGAGTGTCTCGTACGCTGACCGATATAAAAGTAGAGATGGTACTGGGCATACAAGGATAATCCAATCTATATCAGGATAATACTTGGACCACAATATTCTCAAAACATCTGCAAGTTTCTCAAGAACAAGCAGTATCTCTTAAATTACATAGCTTAAATTTTCTTCGTATACTATGATAATACAATACCATAAACGCTCAAAAAATAGAGTTCACTAGACAATTCAAAATATAATGAGCTATTGAGGGGTTACAATAACTACTCAAGCCAACTCCATAAAAGTTGGCTTGAGTAGTTCATTAACTAATCAAAACTAACAGACCTGGGTTCATCAACTTCCTCAAGTAAACAACCTCTGGTCTGACTTGCCTGACTGATTCTTCTAGAACTCCCGTCTCTTAGCACTGACTTATCTTGGACTACTCAGCATTAACCTTGAAGGTTCCCGACTCTATTCTGTTTATCTCTGGCCCTCGGCCAGTTTGCTCTCTCTCTTAATTGATAATCACACCAATAGGGTGTGTATCCTGATATTGTTGAGAAGTCATTAAAGTTAAGGATGGCGGTATTATTGACTTACTGAATACTAGTTTATATGTCTATTATATGCCTTATTAGGAACAAACTTTCTGTAACTTCTCAGTGGGATAATGTGTTGTTGTAATCAGTTAAATTAATTAATTAAATCAATTGCCTTTTCCCATGTTTAAAAAACAAAGATGGTTAATGCTTTTCGAAAGACATATTTGATATCTTCAATGTTCCAAAATTCTAAATAAAATTTTAAATTTGGCTACCTGCCACTAAAAAATTCATGTCTTTTAATTTTCCTATTTAACTTTTCCTTGCATCGCTGTACAATTTTCTTATATGGCGGTTTCATATCTGGGAATAATAGCAGCCTCTTTCAGCAAAAATGTGCATCTGGTTGTACATATACAAGTCGGCCGAAATTTAAACTTGGTCGCGCTTAGTGGGTCTAATAACACATTCGTTTGAAGTATACATAATTTTTTTCATCTTAATTGGGTCCTTGAAATTGATTTACCTATTTTCACTGCTTAGGTCAAGCGGTTAACCTCGATGAATATTGACCAGTTCTTTCTACCATGCATTTGCGGAGAAAAAAGAAAGAAAAATAATATTTTTCAAATGTCGCCATCTCAAAAAGATTCCACATTATATACATATATATTCCAGTTTTTTTAGCAGTGTTCTTGCTCATAAAAATCACTAGAACATTAAATTTCTAGGAAATAAAGTTATACTGTCAAAAACTGAAAACATAAAAAAATATTTCCCAATCGTTAACTTCTTGATGTTCAAAATACTTTCGATTCTACCTATCGATACCTAAGAAAAACATTTTACAAAATAAAAAATATGTTCCAGTTTTCTGAGTTTCTTTGCCTTGTTGTAAGTCTCCGGAAAATAAACTGTTTCCGGATACATACCAACATAAACTTTTTCCATTTTTAACGTAATACGAGACCATACATTTAGATGGATTTGTCACTTCGTTTCCCAAAACATCCGATTGTTGAAAAAAAAAATTTGAAGGCCATGAAAGTTTCTAAAGTGACGAAAGTCAGGGCCGTTCGACGAAAAAGCTTGGGATGACTAAATGATGTAATATCTTCAAAAATTCTGCAAATATTTTTTTATTATGTAACAAGTAAGCCAAATTTCAGATTACTAATTAACTGAAAACTAATAAATTGAAAAAAACAAGAAAACTCTTTCAAGAAGAGGAACATCTTCTAATTTGGGTAGGTAAAATATATAAATGTGAATATATAAATAAATTATTTTCATGTAATAACGAAAATTTCTCATTTCTTTCGGACTTTTTTTTTGTCGAAAACCATGCTTTACTAAAGCTTAATATCCTTTTGCGTAAGTGAGCCAGCTAATTGACTAATAGACTAATTGACTTCCATGGTTAGTTCCAAAGATTTCTCTTGTACCTTGTTTTCCCAGGTATGCTATGGCTCGCTATTTACCATCGGTAGCAAAAAGTATAAAGCTCCCTTTCGGGAAAGAAATGGGAATAGGGACATGTTAACCAAAGTTGCTCAGACTTTTGCACAATTCTCAAAAATGTTCTAGTATAGTGCTCCATTTGCATTTCCGACGTTGTTGTCTGTTTCGAGTTGAATTATCAAAGCTGCAAGTGGCTAAATATTTCAAAAAATGTACACTAATGCCATACAGTTTGAAGAAAAAACCCTATTTAACTCTCGAGAACTCGTAAAATTAATGTGTTTTCTAATTGAACGTCATATATATATATATATATATATATATATATATATATATATATATATATATATATATATATATATATATATATATATATATATATATATATATATATATAT